AATGTTTTGATTCTAATGTTAAAATCCTTTGACACTAACAAGCAAATGCTACAAGAGACTAATAGTTTCAATGAAAGTATTTACAAAAGAATTTACATTATTAAAATCTATATATGATTTTTATAAGGGTTTGACAACTAGATCAACAAGGATTTCTTTGTTGCACCACCTTTCACTTGATTTATGGCCTTGACTGATCTAAAGTGATGAGATGGGTGATATAGCAAGACGAACGAGACAATGAGAAGAATGTAGAACATCCCATATTGTTCATGTTACCCTCTTTTGATTGTCCATTGGATCAAGAGTTGTGTTGAATCTTAGCATGCACATAACACATTAATCTTAATTCTAGTGTTTCTAGCATTTTGTTTTGCTATTTAATATCTTCTTGTAAGGTTAGCTGATTCTCATATGGATCTGAAAATTAGGACCAATACTTAAGAGTTTAAGGAAATTTAGCGACACCCTACCCCTTAGGTTGAGCCAGCTAGAAGCAAGCTAAACTTACTAGATCTTAATCTCATTATGATACCGGATGTAAACTATTAATTGTAAACTTTTCCAAAGTCAAACCTAAAATCCCTATGATACCAAATGTAAAATTTTAAATTTAAACTTCATCTAGCCCAATATTACTCATCTCAAAACCTTTAATCGATTGAAAAATAAAATGCACTACACCTCTTCTTTTCATATTTAAACCATTATAAATCACTTGTCAAATAGTTCCTTTAATTGTTAAGCGTGTGGTACTAGGAAATCAAGGAAGATAGAAAACTACACAATGCATGCTAGAGAACCATAATAGGTATATTGCATAAACACTGTGGATCAATCCACCAAAGCAAATAACTCTTAAGGCATTTCAGATTGATCGAAACATAGAGGGGAGGTGGCTAGTCTCTCCACGCAGCACATTACAACCCCACATACACACAAGAAAGAAAAGAAAAAGATAGATATTCACCATGAGCCCGCATGCCCCCCTGCCCCCACCAGTCCATCCACCCGTCAGCCACGCGAACTTGACAATCCGGTCGTCCACCTGGACGCCGCGGTTGGTGACAGTTCGTACGGAAATCGAGGTGCGTACGGTAGGATTCTACCGCCCATGTGTTTTAATTTCTTACAGCGAACTAGGGGTTAGGACGCAGCCCAGAATATTCTCGGGGCATCTTGCTGCCACGTCATGCCAGTCATGGCCATGGCCATGACCGCGCAGCCGTCGGATGGGCCCTCATCCGAGGGCGGCAGCGCGGGTATAAAGGGTAGTTCAAACGCTGGCATAGATCAGTGTTCTCTCTTCTCTCTTTTTCCAACGCACAAAAGAAGAGGAAGAACACACAAAGAAGAGCGCAAACATTCGATTCGATCGGAGCAAAGAGGCGGCGATTCGATCGGAGAACAGGGCAAGGCCGGGCAATCGATTCCACGCACCGGCGCTCTCAATTTGGGCTTCTCATTCCTCCCCTGCTGCAGGAGCTAGACAAATCCTCCCTCAATCGATCGATCGATCGAGGAGAAGCTCACAGGGAAGAAGCGAAAATGGTGGCCAACGGCAGCGACACAACCTCCTCCTACTCGCCGCTCGTCCGGGTGTCGCCAGATCCCACGCTCTGCCTCCCCAATTCCACTCCGCGCTACGACACCGCCGATCCCCTCAGCTGGAAGAAGGCCGCGGCGGCGATGTCGGGTAGCCACCTCGAGGAGGTCCGCGAGATGGCCCACACCGTCTACGGCGCCGCCAAGCCCAGCTTCCCGATCGAGGGCACCACGCTCACCATCGCCCAGGTGGCGGCGGTGGCCAAGCGCGGTGCCCAGGTACGCTTGGATTCCGCCGCCGCCAAGAAGAGGGTGGACGAGAGCTCCAACTGGGTACTCGACAATGCGATGAAGGGGACCGACATCCTCGGCGTCACGACTGGATTCGGCGCCACCTCCCACCGCCGGATCAACCAGGGCGTGGGGCTCCAGCGCGAGCTCATCCGCGTCCTCAACGCCGGGATCTTCAGCGACGACGATTCGACCAACGTTCTCCCGCTGGCCTTCGCGCGCGGCGCGATGCTGGTGCGCACCAACACGCTCCTCCAGGGCTACTCGGGCATCCGGTGGGAGATCCTGTCCGCCATGGAGAAGCTCGTCAACTCGGGCATCGTGGCGCGGATCCCACTCCGCGGGACAATCACTGCCTCCGGCGATCTCGTCCCTCTCAGCTACATTGCCGGGCTGCTCAGCGGCCGATCCAACGCGCGCGCCGTCTTGCCGGACGGGAAGGTCGTCAACAGCACCGAGGCGCTCAAGCTCGTCGGCGTGGAGCAGCCCTTCGAGCTCCAGCCCAAGGAAGGCTTCGCCATCGTCAACGGCACGGCAGTCGGCGCGGCGGTGGCCTCCATCGCCTGCTTCGACGCCAACGTCCTGGCGCTCCTGGCCGAGATCCTGTCCGCGATGTTCTGCGAGGCGATGCAAGGCAAGCCCGAGTTCACGGATCCGCTGACGCACAAGCTCAAGCACCACCCCGGCCAGATCGAGGCCGCCGCCATCATGGAGCACGTCCTCGCCGGGAGCTCCTACATGAAGGCCGCCGCCAAGCTCCACGAGACCGACTCCCTCAAGAAGCCCAAGCAGGACCGCTACGCGCTGCGGACCT